GTGGTTTGGGTTCTTCAGAATTTGATACACCATTATAAGATCTCCCGCAAAAGCCAATGTCGACTGCTGTAAATGCCTATAGATTTCAGTCTAAGCTGATAGAGCAGATAAAAGGGCCCCTGAAGTTCTTTGTTTTCGTTCGTTGAAGAGTCCCGAGAGCATAGAGATCCTGTTTCTACCATGGCTGCCAAGCCTGAATAGCATATTCCACGTGCGGTCGCACGTAGGCGTTAAGCATTTAGGGAAAGATTGAGGATTCAAACCGAACGAAGGCACTGCGAAGAAGATCGAATTGTTGGTTGCCGGTTCGCGTTGCTTTCTCCCCTTGTTTTTACAACCCGAGATCTTCTTGTACCAATACACCCAGGTCACGCCCCTGAGAGAATTTCTGCAAGGTGTGGTCTCCAATCTTGTGAGCACTCACCGGCTGGTGACGCAGATGGATCAACTTGCACGTAGCTATGTTCTATTTAAGCATATTACTCTTTGACAATTCGTAAAAGCAATCTGAGTCATGTTGGAGTAGCTCGTGATCTGGCTTGCTATTAATCGCCCGCCATATGTTGACGTCATCGGTGAAAATCAGGAAATTTGCGGAGATAACCATTGCCAGGTGGTTGATAAACACCAAGAATAAGCGCGTTCCCAGCACTCAGCCTTGTGGGACACCACACTCCACCTCAGTCAGGATAGCAAGTGATCCCCTAACCCGTAATTTTAGCTTTCGTTGGTGAAGGAAGCTGCCCATCCAACCGAGTGCAGGATCTCCGATTCCGTAGATCTGGAGTCGTTGAAGTAGGATCCGATGAGCAAGGCGGTCGAAAGCTTTGGAGATGTCCAGACAGATGACGTCGACTCCGACCCCATCCTCAACCACTTCCGTCCAACTACCTCGTACAACCAGTAGGTTGGTGTACATGATCGGTGTTGACGGAAGCCATGCTGTTCTGGTACCAAGATGTCGCACTTTCCAGGTAGTCTATTAAAGCTTCAGCAACGACTGCTTCCATCACCTTCGCGAGCACAGGGAGGAGGGTCACTGGGCGATAGTTTGCAGGAACTGAACGGCTACCGCCTTTAAAATGAGGGATGATAATGCCACGCTTTCACATATTGGGGGTTTGTTGTTCATCAAAGCAACTTTGGATAATATATGACAATGGTTCAGCTAGCTGGTTGGCCACAGTCTTCAGTGCCTTCGGGCGGAGGTTATCTGCTCCCGGAGAACTACGATCGCGCAGTGAGAGTAACTACCTTAGCACAAACGATGGGTTGCGAAGTACATGTGTAAATAGTGGAGTTGGTAGTGTGCACGATATTATGGGAAAAGTAGATGTTGCGTATTCGAAAATTGTGGCATATTGTAGCCGACGAGCATTACCTGCATCCTCGGTGCTTTGTACTCTACCGCTTGTCGTGAAAAGTGGAGGAATTCCATGCTTCACTTCCCGAAGCTTATTGATTTGCCTGTGTAGAAGTTAGTTCTTTGCCATGAATTTGTTGGCTAGACACGGTTGATAAGTTACTTTGTCTTCACGGACAAGTGCAGTGCAATGGTTGGTATGGGTCAGGAAATTGCCCCAATTCTCCGAGTCGGGGTTGACTTTATAGGCACGCCATGCTGAAGACGTACATATACATGGTTCGGTTCCAACTTCTGATAATACTAATAAGAATAGCAATACAAATACGTGTGTTTCTCAGGTGCTGCGAGACGCAACGCTCATAACTGACATAGAGCAAAATATACAGGTGGGATCATGATCTTGAAAGTGAGGCACAACTCTGAGCGATTGTCTATTTGTGGTTCTACTTTGAGGAGACAACTAATCGCCACTGCTATTACAACAACTCGGTTGTAACGACTTGGTCGAAACGACCAAATGACTTGCAGATTTTATACACACACGGAAAGCGTTAGACAGAACAGTGTACTTACTAGCTGTGAGATTTAACCGCCAAATATAACCTACGTGAGATCTGAATCAAGCGACTAGGAAGAACTCCGATCCTACACGCATATACATGGTCTCGAGATAAAAATAAACGCGTACTTCACAGCAGGCATTGATCGCCCCAGCAAATAGCAAATTACGCTTTGTTTAGTCTCAATTTTCTACAAAGTTTGTTGACTTAAGTAAATTTTCGCATAGAGCAGTCTGCGTAGGGAAAACCAGAGGAGCATAAGCTCACGTAACTAAAATGGCACAATGCGTGTTTGCGCGGTACATTTCGGAAAGCCACTTTTTGTAATAAAGAAGTTGTGTAGGAAAAATGGATTCATCGTACAGACAGAGTAACGATGAAAACGAATAGTTTCGGCTTTCGAGATATTCTGCAGACGTGCGTTTCTCAAACATTGTCGGTCGGAGGTGGAAACACAGAACGTATATTTGTACTTTACAATCCTGTGTGACTGCTGTAATTCATGTAGGCTTTGTAAGTAGTAACTATGAGCCAGTTAACTGTAACACCACGCAACCCGAAGAGGATTAGAACTGGTGACCTAAGTAGGCCTGCAAAAATCTTTCTGACTAATAGTAACTGAAATCCAAGAGAGGCACGTTATACCAACCCGTAATGTAATTGTAGTATGCAGTGCACAGCAAACTAAGCACGTAGCTAACCAATATCCAATGCGAAATGCAAGACTATGGCGTTGTTATGCACTTAACTGGTCAGTTGCAAATTTGGTAGTAGTCTACTTAGAATGAATGTGAATATATGATGCTAGGTACTATAAGAGTAAAATAAGAGGACGATAATAGGAAAATTCGCAGTTTTCGATGCAAACGCAACCAAGTAGCGAGCGTGTTCAATATGATATAGGACACTAACTTTTTGTTACGATAATTCCCATTTGCCAATTATAGCATAAATTTGACTTTTGTGCAACAAATATCATTGTCTAAGGAAAAACATCGTGTGAGGTCCAGTCACGCGAAGCCCGATATGCTAAATCTAATTCTAACTAGCCATGGTTTAAGCAGCGAAACCACGCACCTTAGAGGTGAGCTAACTAGGTTCAGCGTAAGTTAATCAAATGAAAAGCACTCGCTGCACTTACGCAAATACAAACCTATTTATGCGGAACAAAACATGGCACTTGTCTCATGTATTAACCGAAACAGAGCTTAATGAGTCCATTGTTCCTTAGAATTTTGTGCATTAAAGGCAAGTCTGCAAATGTTAGCTCATAAGCAAGTACATTCCCACATACTTTCGCAACTATTGAGCGATTAGATGAGTGGCAGTTCCTTGATATCGAATAGTGAACAACACAGTAATTTACACCTTATGATTCCAGTCAATTACGATGTGCATGCTTTCTCAAACATATTTATATTTATATACCTAGTCCATCGCCTTCTGGTCAGTTAGTAGGTTTACCCAATCCAGCCAATGATCGTTTCAATCTATCACTTCCGTTGTAGTGGCTAGAAGGACGAAATTGACACAAACTAGGAGCCATGGTATTGGACGATTATTGCACTTGTCGGGTAGGTTGTCCGGAACTCCGTTAGAGTAATGAAAATATGGCACAGCTTTGCTCAAGGACTGAAATGAACGAGCTGTGCGCACATCGAGCTAATCAGACGGTGCACCGCAAGATGTTGTATTACCGATCGGACGAGCGGAATTATCATGAGTCCAAGGGTCGGAATGCCCAGCTCTCGTCACTAGTGCAAGATGACGAAAGTTGCATGGGCTGGATGCAAGTTCCGAATGCTTTTGGAGCAACTGTTTAAATCTGCATTTGTTATTGTTCCTGACCTTTTAATTTCTTTAATACCTTAAACCCGCCAATTACTTTAATGCCCGTTTTTGGATCCTTTGTATAAAGTGTGAACAAATTGATTATTGTTTGCGATTCTGCTGTACATATTGATCAGACCAACTAGTTGGACTGCACCTCGCATGGCCGAGGAATATACCAATTACTTATACATTTACTTATTTGTGAAAAAATACAGCTTTGTTCCTATCGGGCTGGTAATGCTCAAAACAGTAATGAGACATGCAGTGACGTGCATGAATTCGAGCAGGCGAATAGCAACCATTGGTGCATGCAAATGCGTTTGTATCGACCCGACCTATCGCCAGTTCGTTTGAGGTACGCCGAGAAATATCCTCTGACATATCTTCTTTTTCCATGTACCCAGATAATCTAAAGTGTTTGTCTTTGTTCGCCTTTAAGAGACTGTTTGGGTAGCTGGCCACATATTAGCACCCTCCTCGATTTCGAATAGCGTTCTCTTATCGCGTACACAAATACTATCTCATAGTTGGCCCGGGTATATCGGGGTCTTCAAAGCCGTAGCTTAGACACCATGTGATACTCATACAAACAACCTACCACAGCGAGTACAATTGGTTGATCCTATTTACAGCATTGTTGAGAATGGATTGTCTTCGAGTTGCACTATGTACGTTACTCGTTTTCTTCACTACATATTATAAGAAAACAAGGATTTCAGTCTCTGCATAACTTTGAGAAAGAGATTTCTTTTTTAATCTAAACGTTGGTTCAGTCGCCATACGGTATACTTTTCACGGTTTCGGGGAGTCACATTAAGCACTCACTTAGAAATGGTTCTCTTTCCCTGTTTACTGTGGTAACTTTGGCGCTCTTCCTACAACCATACATTCAAAAAGTTGGCGTTAAGTTGACAATAAATACAACCGAGATGATCTTAATCAGCCCACTTGATTTTAAAAGCTGGTAGATCTTTTAGCTTAAAAAGTAAAAACGAAGAACTTGCTCAATACAAACTGTCTTGCGTTACAGAAGTTAATAAGTTTACACACAATATGTGTCAGTTCAACAAGTTGGTTGTCAGCAAGACTAGCACAATGGACGGAAAAGTCTGTTTAAAAACTGTTATCGATACGGATAATCTTGTTTGTCATTTGATACCAGCCTGGGCTGGATTGACCATAGAGATCAGTCACATGTTACCATGGAGATAGTAACCATATTGTTCCGTTCTTCTCACATTTTACTTCAGTGAAACTGAGTACATATACCCGTGAAGAATAATAAAAAGTTGAAAGGTAAGTGTAGCTAACAAAAGCGGAAAGAAGAGTAAGACGAAAATAAAACTCGTGCCACCCAACCGATTGATCAATCCCGTTGTAGAACATGAAACTTTGATCATCGAATGTACCACGTAGTGCAGACGATTACAGGAGACTACAGCCCCCGTGAATTCTGTCGTGAGGTTGTCTAAGCCACTAGACAAATCCGCTAACAGGTTGTGTGTTGCGTTTTTGTATGCGGGGAGAATGGGCGCCTCGAGTAATTTGGGGTCCGCCAATGTCTAGTTGAAACAAAAAAATTAGGTTGGCTCTTAACTGCTTGATATTAGGTCAGTAAGTGCAATATGCTTAATGGAATATATGCGAGACCTGATATCTGCTAACGGTTGGGAAAAAGCTGCATTATTCTAATTTCACTGTGATTCCGTAAGCATAAAACGCTACCACAATATGTGACATCTGAAAAAGTGACGGTTTAAATGTGTGCATTAAAAAGCTCACAGTGGTGACTGGAGTTTAAAGAAATGTGTGTAGGGCTATGTTGTTGTGGCGGTTAAAATAGGAAGTTTTACTGGAATAACGAGAATGCAATTCCCAACTTTAGTATTTTGTCGTTTACTTTTGATGAGATAACATTTTTTAACTACATGAGGGAACAGCAAAGTAATCGGTAAATCAAACCGGTATTATGAGCTGCAATCTGGACCCATCAGTCAGGTTGTTGGGATTTCAGTAATGTTCGCATATACCCTTAACTGACAGCAACATAAGAGCGGGTATATTTAAAGTAGCATATAAGTGCATATATGTGAACCGCACAGACGTGCGGAAATAGCGTGCGCAATTTCAAACAAAATGATTTCTTCAGAAGCAAATTAAGTATTCGTACTGATTTAGCACGTCCCATCTCCGGTTCACGGTTAATAAAAGCAACTAGGTATCTTCCACAGAGCGCCATATTAATCGAGTGTTCCTTTGTTGGAAGTCTGTCGTGCAGGATAATCAAATAGGATATGCAGTGCAAACAGAAATCCCAACCATCTAATCATTTGCATAGGCGATAAGAAACTTGCGTTTGGGCAATATATGCAGTTTATAGTATACTGCGAAGCAAATATTATTTTGCCTGCTACGGGGCTACACAGCGTTATGCTTACTTACCTTGACTGTAGTATCCAAGGAATCACCAAGTTTCCGTAAATGATCAGAGAGTAACTTTTGCCGCTGCAGCTTTTCTATCGATTGCAACAGTAGGTTGGCATTTTCAAGTATAGGGTCCAGATTCCTTAGTTGTTTGCGTACTGCATCGATCGTTGTCAAAGCAAGTTGAAATTGTGGATTGATGGCGCCAACTGGCGGAAAGGTAGTGCGTTTTATGTCTGACTCCAACATATCCAAAAAGCTATTAGTGGATTCCAAATCAATCGGAGATTTCCTCAGGCGGCTTACTGCATCCTGTAAAAGAGCAAAGGCTCGAGAAACTACGATGTCGCTTGACGTACACAAATAAGCTGAAATCTAGCTACGTTTCTTGTAATCGGCCAACTAAGAAATGATCATCAAAAGCGTTTACTATACTCGGTGGCATAAGTGGCTTTTTAAGGGGTTGAATACACCTAGTCTCCCAGCTTAAACTACTCATCCTATACCTATATTCTATCCTAGCTCCTCAGTAGCTCATTCCAAAACCATATGACATGAGTGAGTTCGATCTGATAAACTGATATATAAACTCAAATTTAGCTGAGTTTTGAGGAGGAGGAAGACTACGGATTAAGCAAAGGAAAACTTATTCTTCCTCAACAAAGATCAATGTTGCAAATTTACGAACTTTTCCGTAGCTAGAGTTTAGGTTATATGGAAGCGCTCGCCACACAGTGACAGCAAGTCAATCAATCGATCAGTTAAAACTGAGAAATCACATTATCTTCTTATAGAATAAACTATTTGCATGGCAGATAATGATCAGGAAGCCATACTTTTAAGGAGCAGGAAACATTTCCAAAATACCACGCAATGTATTGGTCACCCATATTTTGCCCATCCTTGCATTTAAAACTCAGTTTGACTTGTTTATCAAGGCATCACCATTTTGGGGACAAGTTCAAGTGGATGGCGTCCGAATCAATATCCACGTAACATCTCGTCCTATCAGATCAAGGGGGAAAGTTTTATATCTACGCTTTACACTAGTTCAAAATCACCAACTATGTTCTATTCAATCCTGGATCTAGTAGGTTCTCACTTTCATTAACTCTCAGCCTTCTGCAAAGTATATTTGCGCCATCAGCTCCGGAGTTATCCCAATATTCCTTCGGAATCTCTCTTGGTAAAGAAAACGCCGGGAGTTCATTTACCATTTGTTTTCCTTACCTACAATTTGAATCAGCCGACCGTCAAACATTGGCCACTCACCTCCCATTACTGTTCAATTATACCATTTCTATTCATTTTTCTCTCTTGCTAATATTGGGCACAATAGGGCCAATCGCCCAAGTGACTGATGAAAGCATCCAAGGTATCTACTACATCCACTGAAGGCTAACTAACACATACTCACTAGCGAATATTAAAGTGCATGGCTGGAAACAGTCAAATTGGGGAATGAGCTATATGGCCGAAGTTCCTCGTATGTAACAGCGCCGAAAACACGAGCCAACGCGAGGACGACATAACTGCATGTAACAAAGGCAAAAAACGCATCTACCTTGTGACGGCCTAATTGCTTATAACGGCGGCAAACGTCGACGCAATGACGATCCCACTTGCATATGACAACAGCAAAATCACGAGGCAAACTGATGACAAATTACTAGTTGTAAACCACGTCCGCACACTCAAGATAAGACAAGAAATTGCGGATGAAACATTTGCAAGAATTACGCCGCATGGAAGCAGGTCCCGAGGAGATGATACCATGGATGACCGTATTATTTTACTTGAACCGCCCACTGTACCTGCAACTATTCTTACTCACATACTCTGCATTTCACTAATTTTGAAAGATAAAACGTTTCTAACACGCCGCTGAGACCATTGAAAATTTGAACAAACTTCAGCATAGTTCAATTATGTTGTACAAAATGACTGGGCCCCGAAATCTGGTTTTTTCAAGCAAATGGTTATGGTAGATAGCTTTTGAGCTGCTAGAAGGAATAAGTTAAGATTTACCACATAGGTAAGTTAATTAGGCTAATTTGGAACACTTTTTCTCTTTGATAGCCAACATCTAAGCAGTAATAGATTTTGTACCAGGAATCGGCCTGTATGTCCTAAGCATTTTAGAAACCTCTACCTACGCATTTAATTTCATGTAGAGCGATGTAACCAAGTGATATTGTACTCGGGGAAATTTTGGTGACGACGTTACAAAGGAAGAAAGGCATAGGACCAGCTGACATGAGCAGCGGAGTTCGGTCATAGTTTGGCAGTAAGGCACACAATGGCAGTAAGGTATTTGTATGTTGCATGCGGTTGTAGAGATTCGTGCGTTAATCACAGACGATCTCGGTTTTTGTGGACCTTAGTCCACAGTTGTACTTCCTGGGAACATTCAGCCCGCTGATCAACTTATCATTTACAATGATCGAATGGCATGTCTTGAACCACAAATACGCTAATTGCTTCGTTGCGAGCAGCAAAACAGCAAGTAAGTACTTAAGTCTTTACAAATTATTCGCGGTTTTACGAATTACAAAATGGCTTACGGTTTTCGGCCAGAAGAAAACAACTAAAGTTGGTGCCGAATTGGAAGGCTGTTAACACAAGCAATGCTAATATCTAAATCAACCAGTGTTGATGAAGTAACGCCGGCTATTCTAAACTATTTCCGACTTACTGACAAAGCTTTTGTCAAAGCCACCAAAGCATTAGTGAACGGCTACGGTAAACGAAAAGCTATGGTAGCGAAATATGACGAAAGCTAAATAAAAATTGCTACACTAGGATGTTATTAAATCCACTTTTCAAAAGTTCATAAAGAAACTTGAACCAGTTTTACTGGTGACTTCTGTGGATTAAAAACCCTAACACAACCAAACTCTTTTCTGCTTTCCTGTAGAATTGAACTGCTTAAATTAATCTTGTAAACCCTCAGCTGTTACTGGTACCATGTGTTTGTGTCCAGATGTGAAATGCATTCCTTAACATCACAAAGCCACACTTAGGCTACCTATAGGAGAGCAAAAAATTATTGTGTAAAAAGGGTTTGAGCTGGACGCTTTGCAACGGATTTGTTCAATTTCTTTACATAGGAAGTCACTGACCGTGTAGTTTGATGATTCTAAAAGTAAAGTGCCATTCTGGGCACTCTGAAGTGTGTCATTTACATCATTCGGCACATGCGACCCTAAATCCATGTCGAGAATTTGGTCGACAACAGTCCTGAAAACGGAAGAAATATTCACACGGTTAAGTTGATGTCGAAAAGGATGATGTCCGTATACCCGTAACAGGTTCTCATTAATGAAGGAAACTGTAAGAGCTGTGTGATCATTGTAGAAGAAATACAGGTAAATAAAAGTACGTAGTGGAATTATTAGCATTCGTGACCTATCTCAGTAAAACGAAACCGCCGTTCATTATTTGATCGGGTCTGTCTTTAAGTTACAGCGAAGTTCTTTATATCAGTTGAGTTACGCAATTTGCTAATAAAAGTAACACTTCTGTTTAGCTCCAATGTTCAGTTTAACTTCCTTATGATGAACATCATAAACATGTCTGTCATACGTATTCCACATTGCTACATTTAGCTTCATAAATACTTTTCAGAAATGTCATGAAACTGTCCTATACTACACAGCGAACCGTCGCATGTATAGTAATTATCACAACGACTGGCATGCCAAGTTCATACATCCTCTTGACAGTAGGAAATAAAACGCAGCTTTTTTATATGCCGCAGGTTTCCCGACCCTAATTTTTTGATACGTAGTGTGAATTATTCGCAATGTTCATATCGGAATCAGCTCATATGAAATTTGAAATCAGCAATTATGGTGACCTATAATGGTCTGAACTGCCCTCTAAATCAAAAAGCTATCATGCTATCGGTTGAACTGTTTTGAATGCCGTGATTAATCTTGGCGTCTTGAGATAACTACTGATCTCTCATCATGTGTCGCGGTATACCTCGCAGCCTCTTCTCTTACGGAAGCTTCCTTCGTTTAAAGTTCTCCTTGAATTCCTAGGGATCTCAACACATGCTTATAGAGCACATCGCTCTCAGCTTTGAAGCATTAAGTGGTGCACCAACAGTTCACTGTTCAGAGTTACCTAGTCGTTGTTATCACGCGATCACCACTAGTTGCACGTGGATCAGCAATGCTACTAGGTAATATGCACCTATGCAGATTCGAAAGGCTGACCCATGGTTCGTTGTATATACGCTTTATACCAAACGGCCACCGGCTGCTAATTGTAGGATAAACAAATAAACAAGCAATAAAAGATCATCATTTAGCTGCCTAAGTGAAGGATACTTGCTAAAAATCGTCTATGCTTTTCCGAATGTTGATTATCCTGTTTATGAAAAACTCAAACAAAATGAAGAGAAATCCTCTGGTTATATTCACAGGGCCCTTTCGCACTTTAAGTTCTGCAAAGGCATTTTTCGGTTAAAATTTACGAACATGATTTTACAGCCTGCATATATATGTGTATATTATAGTTCTAGGTAATGCAACAAATGTAGTATATGTAGTTCGAAAAATGTCCCAACGAGAACGGAAAATTTTGACCGTAAAATGGGATTCCGATCTGTTTTGTTTCTAAAACGTGGTTTTAATGTTGGTAACCTATGAATCATTTGAAGAATTATGCAGCCAAATAATAGCTTAACTGCTTTATTTTAACTATGTGTTTTGCTCAATTATCATCTATCATCTCATGATCAAACTGCAGGAAAGGAAATCGCTGATTTGAAAGTTTACTGGCGATATATTGACTTGACCGCAGCCCTACCAATAATGGTTTCATTCAGTGTGGCGTTTGATCTAACGGTAATATACCAATTGTATAAAACCGGATAGAAAATTGGGTAACTCCATTGTTAGATAGGGAAAAGGCTAGGGTTTAAGCATTAAAACTCAGATCCGTACACTTCTACTCATTTGACCTGTTGTCATCTTAGATATAGTCACTACAATGCATTTATTTCCTTAACGAACACAGTTTACTGACTGAAAAAGCAGTCTATCTAGATGTAAGGTTAATTAACCAGCAGTGCGGTGTGTTAGTGGCAAATCTTTGACCAGAAACATTTATGGTCTATCGCAATGAGGCTAGGCCTCACAGTGTTACAATGGTTTGGGTGCCTCCGTGACCCATTGAGTTACGTTGGGTGGATATATTTGCACCTTCAGCACTCATATCAGTTTGGTCAATGGTTAGAGGCCAGACAAATTCAGTTTTCTGGTCCTCTAAGTTAGCGAATAGGGTGATGGTTTCTTCTTATTTAAATTGGACTCCTTGTAGCCTACTGCCAAACCCGATGCCTTTCGGTCAGCTTTTTGAACCAAAAACTTTGCTTGGGGACACTAATCGTTTTCCTGTCTATTTGGTTACCTGACGGTATCCTGCACGCGCAATACAACTATGCCTTTCTCTTCATATGATTTACTGATCCTCTGGCCGTCGCAGTAGATAATAAACGGCGCCCTATCTCCTACATCGAGCAGGATGAACAGGCATAGGATGCTACTGCCCAAGCAGTCCCGTCTTCTTATACCCACTCTTACACCTGTTACGATTATGGTCTCGTTCCATCTTCCCTTTTATGGTCTCCTTGTTTTCAACCCAACGATTCTTTTCTCCCCACCATGCTCTGATAGGTGATTATCTTCCAGTCTCACCTCACATCCAAATGCGGAGCGTCAATCCTGCCCTTTCAGCAACCGCACGTCCAACCAAGCGGTTAAACCCAGTTCATCGGCTTTGATTTGGAACATTATTTCCTCCCTCAGCTAACATGCCTCACTGTACACACAATGTTAGAGGCCGGTCAACAGGCAGCTATTGTCTGAGCATTAAAAACCCCCTCAGTTGATACATGCTGCTTATCGGAAAAACGTCTGCAAAACCCGAGCTCTGTTCTCACTCTGCGATCCTCTTCGAGTGAAACCAGCAGCGCCATCTTATTGCGCCTATCCGGAGACAATGCAACTTCGGTTACCGGTCAAGCCGGTGTTGATATTGCGCTGAGTCCCCAGGTTTCAGTGGCTCTGGCTGATTGGGTCCTAATCAGTAGCCGGAGGTATGCCGTTCGACTGGTTGTCTCGTTCAAAGCTTCGAAGTCGCACGAGGCTAATACGTGTCTGTTATCGATGTTTACGCTTCCACGAACTGTAGCGATGACTCAGTAAAAGCTGACATCTATCGACAAGTAAACGAGCTGCTTTTTCACAGAAGAAGCACGGGCATTGTGGTGCTGCTGGGCGTCTAACCGCTCAACTTGTAGTACTGTGTACTGCTGAGCTGCATCTGGGCAGCCAACTTGATTTACTCCGTAGCAATGAAAACCTTGAACGGTTAGTTCATTTGTGTAAAGATGCCTGCTTATGCCTTGCAAGCACTAACCTCCGACACAGCACCCGCCGGAGGGTGACATGGCGCCCACTAGCATCAGAGCGACCTTGAAGGAAAATCGATCACGTGGTAATCGGTTATCGCTGGAGAGGTTACGTTCAAAATCGGCACTCGATTTGGAGCACATGTGTAGACACAAACCATGGACTTTTATCTTCTGATTTGCCGTTGCTTTTCGGCGGTCGCTGTCGACGACCTGCTGAGTGCATAGACAAAAGATAACTGGCGAAGTTAGATGTTCTGAATACGTATCAAAGCACACTGGCATTCGGTTTGAGTAAGCGCACAGTGAATACCGTTAAAGATCACTGGTCACATGTTCACCAGACCTTACTGGATATTGAGTTACTTTGTGGTCTCTGGAAAATATCTACACTCGCTGGCATATTCCGGCTGGAAGCAAACACAATGAGACCCTCAAATAACTCAGGGCAAAAGGCCGTACTAGCCTGAAGAGATACCGCAAATTCCAGTGGTCTTATTATGCATCGGAAATGGAAGTGGCTGTTGCCCTTTTTAATCATCAATAGTTATTGCGTCAGAGAGGGGAAACTGGTAACAGGAGGACTGGTGTCAGTGAGACTATGTAGGATGAGAGTGGACAGCTTATCCATAACTTATCGAAACGCTTGAAGTGACGGCTGAGCGACTTCAAAGGCAATTTAATCGTCTTCAATTGTAAGCTTATTCGTAGGCCAGGGATTGCCATGATCCCTGGGGTGTCTAGTTGCATTCGCCGTCTGGCTTAAGAGGCGAACGTGAGAGTGAACTGGTGAAACTTAATAAAGCAGCGGTACTAGATGTTTTTCATCCAGCTCTCTTTGAATTCGACAGGCGTGTTCATGTTAATGATGTACAAAACTCACCAGCGAAAACGTGGGAGCAGGCGACTGTCCCAATCGACTGGAGCCGCTCCGTCATTGTCCCCATCTTCAAGGGAAGCTCCCGTTCGGAATGCGGCAACTATATCGAAATCAGTTTTATCCCCATCGCCTATAAATTACTTGCCTCTGTAATCCTTCACAGAATGACTGGCGCTCCTGAAAGCCAAATTCGCGAGGGGCATGCCGGGTTTCTTGGATGTCGGGCATGCATCGTGCACAGCTTCACCTCGCATCAGTTGTTGGAGCACCGACAAGTATATTAATTATCTACCAATGTCGTGTTCCTCGACGTCAATGGTGCATTCGGATCGGTTGATCATTGTTCCATTTGGGACTGTCTGCTGGACCAAGATGCGTCCGAAAAATGTGCAAACATTACCCGAGCGCTATACAAGTGTAGTTTGGACAGAGCGAGAGCTCACGACAGGCTGCCACCACCCCTCAATATTTTCAGCGGTATAAGAGTAAGATGTCCATGGTTAACCTTCCACTTCGACTGCTATACACGAAGTTTACGGTTATCACGTTCATAGGGCACAAATCAGGAGGCTTGGAACTGCTTCATTGAGATTGACTTCTTGACTTGAAGAGTGCTGACGATTCTACCCTCATAGGTGCCCGCTCTCTAACATGCCAATCAACACTGGCGAAATTAGTGCAGACTGTCAACCGTCTGGGACTTTTCTTTGCAACTTCAAATTGCAAAACTTTCTACCAAGATTGGCAAGGACCACTTCATGCTCCCACAGTGGGGATCACTTAGAAATCATTCGAACATTTAACAACCTGCGTCGTTTTCTTAGCTGCTGTGGAATCGAAGAAGAAGTCGCGAACCGTAAAGCAAATGCACGGGACAGTTTTGCTAATCTTCAACATCTGTGGCGCTGGCG